AGTTGCGGTTGTCCATAGGCAGCGTTGATTGCTTGCCTTCAATCAGGGAAAGCGTCGGCTCGTTTGACGTCCTATCACATAAAAATTTTGTGCTTATTTGGAAATTGTGTCTGTCGACAACTGTCAAAATGTCAATGACATTAACTAGAATCTATAGTTAGGTACAAATGTGAACCTACTTACATATGAAAATCTAAATAAAAGGTCACGTCTTGCCGGTCTTGTTTGATTTGTTCTATGTATTTTTCACTTACAATATTTTGGGATCCGCTCAAGAACATATACCTACACAGTTCCTAGGTTGTTTATGAATTTATTTTTGGAAGATAGATGTAGGTACATGCCTACCTACATAATCAAAAAGAATTAAATCAAAAGAATTATTTATTTAACTTAATTGAATAATATAGGTAAATGAGATTTAATGAGACACATTTAGAGGGTTCAGATAATTGTTCCATCGCCACTTTGTTTCACCGTCAAGCCTTTCACCCCAAAAGGGGTAGGTAGAGGTACACATCCTACGTCATAACTGTTACATATATCTATATATTACAGACTGTGCACTCACTTTTTACCTGTACACTACAGCAGAGAAATTTTCGAAAATCATATAAAACCTTATCAATACTTTGACCGACCGGGTTTCGAATTTTTCCGGGACCCCTTGGTCAGAAGTCGTAGTTACAACTACTCGATCAATGACACAGTAAGCACACTCTAATAAACAATGTAAACTACAACCACCATATTACTTGCCACGCGTTACGATTAAACAAACGAACTTATGGTGCCCACAACAGTTAGTGTCTGCTTAACCTTGTCTGTGCTTAACCCTGTTTGCGTAACTTATCATTCAACCCCAAAGTTTTTATGATAAAACTGAGGGCTTATTACGATTTTTATCTGCTTCCAGTTAAACAACCAATCAGAAAGCTAAACGGTTGTGCTTGTAACGTTAAAAACGTACTGTAAAGTTTATCATATAGGAATGGCAACAATTGTGAAGATAGGGGATTAGTTAGGCTCATAAGTATGTCGTGGATCGGGTGCGTTTACATATATAGTTACTTAAAATTTCACATACGCATGACACCCAGACAAAGTAGGACAATTTGTAGATCACATCAAACCTGATCCCGACACGACATGAAACCCGACACGTTGATCGGCAACCGATTGGCCAGCCACCAGCCACCGTGCCAACCGTGCAATCAAGCCAGTTTTACCAGGAAAATTATTGTAATACTTAGTAGAGAAGAGATCTCAGAATGCGGTTATGATCACATATTGTATATTTCTGATATGTTTAATTTTTTTGCTAAGATCGTTTTATTATTAAACTAGCGACCGGCTACGGTTTCGCACGGGTGTAATTCCAGTTATACCTTCAATAAATATAAAACTTCCTCTTCGATCACTCTAGATATCTATTAAAATCCGTGGCAAAGTTTTAAAGATTTAAGCATATAGGATTAGGAAGATAGGGACAGAGAAAACTACTCTGTTTTATACTATGTAATTGTTGTGATATGCAATCCTATCCTAGAATTTTCTATCTATACTAAATTATAGCAAATATAATGTTTGTTACTTGTTTACGTTCACGTACAAACGACTGAATAAAGGTAGGTAAATAAATGTAGGTATAGATTAGATACAGTCAGGAATCACCAACGCAACGCAATGCAAAGCGAAAATAATATATCTACCTAATCATTTAATGTCTCAGAGCGTATATACCAATTTTACAAAAATACTTACGATAATATACCTAAGTATACCTAGCCTTAAAAGCATTGAATTTGACTATCTACATACTTTAAATCTCTAGTTCCTGCTTAATTTGTCACCCTTACCTACTGCTTTGTTTACCAGACGAGATTGGCATGAACAAGTTCCGATTTGAAACAGTAATTCACGTGTAGAATTTGCTCTGATGCAACGCTACATGTAGAATACAAATTAACTGTGCTGACATTCGGTTAAACTCGAACAATCTGCATATTAATCCTAATATACCTAGGTTTACTATGGTAACGAATTCTAAGTAGTTAACACAGAATTTTGAAATATAATGTAGAGAAAACAAAATGCTTCTCATGCATGATGGTGTAATGATGGTGCAAATCTGTCAAGTAACAATGTCTTTTTCCAAGTTTTTCCAAGATTATTTTCTGACATAAGTAAAGAAAGCTTTTATTAGTTTGAAATAAGTAGCTCATTCACATGAAACAAGTGTGGTGATTAGATAATGCTAAAATCTTCTGTGTTAGAAGAGATGTTGCGTTTTAAGCGCATGCAATGATGTAACGCGGTCCGGGCTTGGAGCAGAAAAAGGAACGGAGCTGTTTATCGTCAGTAACAAGTGTCTGACACTTTTTAAGGAAAGGAGAACATCAGCATTGCCGTAACATTATTCCTTTATTAGAACATAGGTACCTAGGTAGATTTTTGACAAAAGTAAATATCAGAAATGAATCGACTTGCCCACTAAAATATCATCATTTTCCGTAAAAAACACATTAAACGGACATATAGCGATAAAGCAGGTAATTTAGATAGGGGAATGGAAACAAAAATGTAAATAAATCTCGCGGTCGCAATAAATAACATCGCATTGGCAACCCCAGCTGTTAAAACGTACCATCAACCGCTTGACCATCGATTCCTAGGAAATATTTACAGACGTGATACCTATATAGAAATATGGATGAAATAGAAAACAATCGGCAATAAATTGTCCGCTCCACTAGAGTGATACTACGGCCTCACAGAAAACTGCCGTGAAACAACCACAGCGTTGTGTTTCGCCGTGTGAGCGAGGTTACGAGAAGCCCATTCCTTACCTCTCCCTCATCCCTTCCTAATCCTTGAATATCCGGAACCCTTATCCCCAAGAAGCCGACACAACGCAACTCGTAACTCCATTGGTGTTGCGGGTGGCCAATTGCTTCCCATCAGGTAATCCGTCTGTTACTTCGCCGATCTATCCCATATTAAAAAACTCACTGACATTTATTTTGTCCTTTCTTAGAAATAACTGTGTACCTACCTTTTGTAATGTGTATCTATGAACTTAGACCTAGAAAAAAGGACCATAAGGTATATGGTAAGACCATATGGTCTTATTGAAAGCGTCTTTTATTCTTGGTCTGAGCCTATGAATGAATAACTTCATTGTGTGGTTTTATTGGAGGCCCAATACTTAAACTCTTAAATACTTAACTACCCCCAAAGGCCAACGCACTTGTGTCATTGTTGGGCGAAAACGATTGTTTTTCATCTGGTGACCCATAGCCGATAAAGAAGAAACATTATAGATAAGGTCGTTTGAAACCTTATTCTATATAAAAATTGTCTTCCGGACAAAATCGTTACTAAACAGTTTGAGTACCTACGGCAGTTAGTGCAGTTTAAAATGAGCTTCAGTTTGCTTTGTTTACGCCGACGACGTACACATTTCGACATAGGTAAACATCAAAACAAAAAACGAAATTCAGCGAGCAGATCTTTCTGTATACAGCTATACAATCTTTCCGGACACCTTTCAGAGTAAAAGGATGTCCGGAAAAGATAATGATCTACCTCAGAATACAGAACAAACCAGAAGGCGTCATCGCGTTTCAAACTGAAGCAACTAAAACCATTCTCAACTAGAATAGTATGAAATTTCTACGATTAGTCAATTTTGGCACGTGGCATGTCGTGACGTATTTACGAGTATCAATTTTAATTTCATTATGCCGTCTTGTGTTATTACTACGAGTAAAAATGCGACTGGAATTACGAAAAAAGTGGATAAGATTACATTTCATCTGCAAGCATCGACTAAAATAGTATATTTAATTAATTATTGAATTTTTTTTATCGATTTATTTTTCTATGAAAATGATGCGGCCATTTTGTGAGTGTTGTAATTTTTGGTGAAAATTTTACCCACTTATTTATTTGTTGTGGGTTATATTTTTGTCCATTATGGAACCTATGTCATATTAGTTTGCCTGACAAAAAAATAAATACAAATCATACAAAGGGCACGGTTAGATTAATTTTGGAAACCATCTAGCCAGAGCATAGTTTGTTCAATTCACTTTGAAGAGATATATTTATGACAAAGGTGGTTTGAAAACAGCATATCCTACTAAGATATATCTATACTAATTATAATGCTGAAGAGTTTGTTTGTTTGTTTGCTAGAATGCGCTAATCTCAGGAACTAAGTAAAGTAAGTAGACTTCTAATCTTTAGTTCCGAGTCTAAAGACATTATTAAAAAAACTAAACCAGCAAAAGGGAACGCAATAAAACCTTTGTACTTTATAGCTTTATTTTATTTGTTGTGTATAGTAGGTGTAACTAAAATTAACACAGCCAGAAATCGTCAACTTTTATGATACCTCTATGAAATGTTTGAACAACTAGTCTGTTGCATTTATCGTAAGTTTACCTATTTTGTTGGGTTTACTCGTATCTTACCCTCCTGTTGTAAAATTACCCCAAACCAAGGGAATGTTCCACTGTCGGCAGCACTACACGGGTGGGAAGTGCGGCTGGCGGGGGGATTGACTTATTGTTTTTGGACACATTTGACGACATGTAATTATGAGTGAACGCGGATTCTGGTTTGTTCTGTATTCTGAGTGATCTACACTGAATATTGTCCCTTTATACCCACGGGTTCGAGACGTCAATACTCCTATACCTACCATACTCTACACATATAGATAGACAGGCCCGGTCGGTTGGGACGGAAGCGGCGCATCCAATTTTGCGTTCATATTATCTCTGTTGTTGCAGCAACCCAGCTTCGGCAGCTTCCCACAAATTAAAATCTATCTTTACAAAATACTTCGTAAAATAATGAACGTTTGACAAGCAAACTTTAATAACGACAGCGTTATTCCACAGACAAGCTAGTATTGACTCCATCGCCAGTAACAAAATCAAATTTATTTTCTTTTAGATTTGTAAAAAAATAGGACTTAATAAAACACTGAATAAAAATCCAATAAGGATCATAATTTATTTAAAAAATGATATATTACACTTTACAAATTGACCGAACTCGTGTTAATGTGGCGGTAGACCATCCCCATAATATCCGATAATTTAAAATTTCGAGTATCACAGTTCTCTTTTTATGTAATGATGCTATTTCTTGATAAAGAACATCCAAAATAAACTACCCTTTGGTACCTTATGTCCACAAAATCGTGAGACACAGTAGAACCGTGACGAAGCGTATTTTCGTGATATAACACCATTAATGATGTCAACATTTAAAATGTCCATTGGAGTCAATGGAGTCAATAATGACAATACTAAAATTTTATATAAATGTCTTTATTAAATTCATTAGGTCCATAAAATGTATGAGCATTCCTGGATACATTATTCTATTAATAATATATATTTTAATATCTATCTCTGTCGGGTTCATCCAGCCACATTAACAGTCGCAGTGACCGATGCGTAAAAGCATCCTACACATACATTCCATTGGTAATAACTATAACATTCTAATAATATGTACAATTTTATTTACAACATGGAACTCACGATTTTACTGCCATTTTGAATAAGACACATATGTGATAATAAAATCAAATGTTATATTGCTTTAATACATTTTTATGTGTAAGACACAAAATACCAAAATGACAGGAAAACTGTTAGTTTTGGCCGACACATATTCACGTTCCTTGGTCAATAAACTTTGTTACAAATCAGCAAGACATGGCTGTAATGCATGAACGAAAATGCCTTTGAAATTAATGAAGATAATAATGATATGACATTGGTTGATGAATGTTAAAATGCTCTACTATAATTACAGGACTTCTAAATATACTCCATCAGTTTTTTATAAGATTCATACAGATTGACAAAGTATTCTGTTTCTTACAAACAAAATGATTCGCATACAATATGCAGTACCTATGCGCTCGACAGTGAGTTGCTGTCGGGCTCGTGAGATCATTAACATCGCATCTCGTGTTATATTATACTGTACACTGACTACTTACCAGGCGGAATCGCAATACAAAATCATTGAACATGATCATTATTGGTAAAGTAACAATACACTGGCTTGGTACCATTAAATTAAACACAGAAATTAATATCATAACAGCACATGCTTGTGTCCATTGTCTACGACGAACCAAGTTCCTGACTTTGAACAGCAAATGTGGCCAGTCAACAATCACATTAAAATGTCCACTAAACTCACTTTACTAGCTGTGGTTATTAGCATTACTGTACATCACTGAGTTGTTAACTCTCTTCATACTAATTGAGGCACTGCTTCCGTTTTTCTCTAGTCCCGCTAAAAAGTCTTCCAAAAGTTTGGCGAGGGCCTTACGCTTGAACCTTAGAGATTCGTTTATAACTTCGCGTATCACTTCCTTTTTAACGTCCACACCACCTTGTAATTGTTTTAAATGTTCAAATAACTTCGAGTAATCTGTAAACAAAAACAATAAGGTTATCGAAAGAAATAAAATGTTTATTTTGCTCTAATTTGGTGAATGAGTACCAACGATAACACGATAACAGTATCATATATAATAAGCGTTCGTAGCAAAAATAAAATGATGTTTATTTAGGAAATACAACTTTATCTATGTACTGTAATCGCAAAACCTATTTTTATGTTAACTTCTTTTGAATCACAGCATTATCACCAAGAATGGTCCAATTTTATCCTAGCTGTTGGGACAATTTAGTTCATATTGATTTTTACCTTTGCCAGGTCGCCGAACCGCGCGAAAGACTTCTGTCCGTACATCTAAGTTGTGCTTCTTTATATCTGCGAGCTCTTTACGCGTCAGTTGAGGGGGCATCGTCAACTGTATTTTGTCGTTCTGTAACAGAAGACACGTCTAAATACCTATGTAATTTACTCCCTAGAATCATGGTGTTTGAGAGCAATACTATTAACATTTTCCATAGAATTAAACTTTTACTATTTAACAATTTCGACTCAATTCAGAATCAGCAACTGAAATATATTAAAGCATTTCACAATCTTTTACCTTTCGTTTCCTCTTCCTAGAACGTGCGTTGGAGTTGTTCTCGGCAGCGACTCCCTGTAAAATGGCGTTGATCTGCAGTTCCTGCGAGTCGTGCAATACGACGGGCGCCATTGGTACTACAGGGGGAGGCATCGGCTCCGGTGGCGGCGGCGACGGTGACCTCGGCATTTTAGTACCCATTGTTGTGTATGCGTCTGGAGAAAATAATGAGACTAGGGTCAAAGTGTTAAAGTTCATTTGTCAAATTGAGAGTACCGTTGGGTTTAACTTTAAAAGTTTAAAAAAAAAAAATTAGAGTTTCTTTAGAAATGTTAGCATATTGTAAGTACATGTTATAACTGTAATGTAGTTTTCAAAAAATAATGGGGAAGGGGAAGGATTGGACCACCGGTAACCTCACTCACACGGCGAAACACAACGCTGTGGTTGTTTCACGCCGGTTTTCTGTGAGGCCGTGGTATCAATCCGGTCGAGCCGACCCATTCGTGCCGAAGCATGGCTCTCCCACACATAATATGCATGAAAATGTACAAAGCAAATATTACTCACCTCCATTGAGGAAAGGTTTCACAACAGGTGGTAAGTTGGGAGGTGCAGCTACAGCGGGTGGCGATGCAGGCGGCGACGCGGGACCTGTTGCGGGACCACCCGTATCCATATTTGGAGGCTCCTGTAGCAGGATCCAAACAAATAACATTACATAATATATAACATTACATAATACTACATAAATTACTAAACACTTCAAATTTTTTTGATTAAACTATTGGTTACTTTTATAACACAATACTTAGCTACAGCAATAAATATTAAGAAACTCGCAATAAGTTATAAATCACTAACACATACCTCAGGAGGCCGTCCGGATGGTAGATCAGATGGAACGGGCGCTAACGGAGACGCAGGTCGTCTCGTGGTGACAGGTGAAAGAGGTGCAACAGGGGCTTTGGGCGGCGTTGGGGAGGGGGCGGGTGCGGGTGAGGGAGGCGGCGTGGTGGGCTCGGAGGGGCGGCGCGCCACCACGTGGTGCGGCAGCGGGCCGGCCTTCCGCTTGGGAGGCGCGGCGCGCGGGCCCTCCGCCCCCCGTTTACCACCCGCGCCGCCGCCGCCGCCCCGCACCGCGCCCACTGGGTCCATGTCCGCCTCGTCTACCATCATGCGCTGCAACATCATAATAGAACATTGATAACCAACATATTTTTACCATAAATTTCGTGATAGATTGCTAACAATAAAACATCAGTTTATATAATATAAATAAAAATATCCGATATCGGAATGAGGTATGCTTCTATTTCTAAAAACCACCATCTTGCAAGCCAGATTTACTTTATCATTCATGTGAAATGATGATGAGAGCTTATATGATAGCAATGTACTGACAAAGTAGAAGAATCACATTGTGTTCACATAATAAGTATATGAAAGGAATGAAAACAGCCATGAAACATAACTAACATTAATCACCTTATCTATCTTGAAGGGGTTGCCGAACATATGTTGTCGTACAGGCTGCGACTCGATCTCCCGTAACTGAGGCGTCATACGTTTCAGGTACTCTTGGTAGTTACCCATTTGGGCAACCGGCATTGAGTGCACGCTGTCTTCGTCGACTAAACGAGTGTGCGCTAGCGACGGTTGGAGGAAGTTTGCTCGCATTCTTACCACCTGAAATGAATAAATCATGATAAATAAAACGATACTTTTGTTGTATAGCATCCGATTAGGTTTCAGTTTTCTTTTGACGTATTCGTTTTTTATGTGATGAATCGGCAAACGAGCTGACGGATTACCTGATGGTAAGCAATCAGCGCCGCTCATGAACGCTCGCAACAACGGAGGAGCTACGAGTGCGTTGCAGACCTTTTGGGGATTAAGGATTTGGAGATTTTGGGATTGCGGAGGGTTCGGGGTCCCGGTCAACTTGCTTGGTTAGTCCAATGTTTTTACTTTTTTGGAAGAAAACCATTTTATAAAGAATTATAATTGGGATAATTAACAAACTATGGTTTTATATTAATGTAAAGCTTTGTTTGCGTATGTATGGACTCAATGAATAATTGTTATTTTGCACCTCCATTTATTTCATTTTATTTAAAATCGATTTTGTCAAATTCTTATTGAAATTCAGCACATTCATAGGTCCATAACCATTTAATAACATTATGCGTATTTAACAAAAACATTTCTTTGGTAACATGTTAAAATAAACAACATAAGCTCAGTTGCATTCCCCTCCGAATGTGCAATAAATCATGTAAACAAAAACAATAACTCACATACCAATGACTAATTAGAATACAATAAGGTAATGAGACAGAAATAATCTTTCAAGTAGAATACAAATTCGTATTGGAATTTTGTCACCGAAATTGCAGATAATAACAATATTTTGTAAATTTAATATCATAATATATTTGAGTCTTTTTGAGTTTGAGTTTTGACTTTACACATTAGCGTAGTTAGCGCTTATTTTTTTTTATATGATACGGTCGCAATCATGCAGAATACTTGATGGTAAGCAATCAGCGCCACCCATAGATAACTTCCAAGTGCATATGACGATTTGTGATATGCACTTGGAAAGTGATATGACGATTTAGGGACTAGGAATCCCCAATAACCAGTAATGAGGCTTCTATTTTTGTTATTTAAATGATTCGTGTCTTCAACAACACACTTCTAAGAAACTAAATACATTATTACACTACAAAGCTTTGAAATGGAATCACATGGCAATGGTAAGGCGAATTTCGATATTCTTCTTTTTATTTAGGTATTTGTTATTATTAGAAGTCGAGGGGAGGATTAGGAAATAACGACTGACACCGAGAACCGTGGACCGTGCACCGCACGACAAATATGTATTTGATAATTAACTAATATTTGTTGGACACACTTTCTTCATCAGCCAGACCATACCTTATACCATTGTAACATAAACAAGTTGATATCAATTATCAGGCCATCAATTTTAAACACGTTCTTACCTGATCTAATAAATCTCTTCTCTGTATATCGAAAGGATTCCTATAGGTGTGCGCTTGTGTCTTGTGCCTGCCTCGAGACAGTCCCACAACGAAGCCACCAAATTCGTTCAACTGATCCCGAAGCGCCGAAAACTTGTCTTGTAAACATGGATGTGTCGTGAGGTCCTTTCGCAGTGGTGACCTCGGCATTACTCTTACGCTTTCTGCTACCTAGAATTGTTTGTTTATTTTCAATTAATTATTAATTTTAGGTAAAATTGAAAGTTAAAGAGGTGCAAAAATAGGTCTCCATTTAGCTACCATTTGTAGTAATTTATTTTGTCACAGAAAACATCATGTTACTGATAGAATGTATTACTGTAACTTTATTTAATTGTATGAATGTGAATAGAATTTACACATTGCTCAGACATATTAAATAATTATGAAGGGTTTTTTTTTATAAAATAGTAATAGAATGTACCTTCTGTGTATTGTTGCTGGAGGATTTGTTAATGACGTCGGCACAGAGTTTCTCGAATTCAACTTTAGCTTGATTTTTCAGTCTTTTTAGATAGTTCAATACTGAGAAACTGAGAGAGTTGTCTTGCGAGTCAGGTAGGATACTTTGTAGGAGTTGTGCAGATGCTCCCATTTTTGTTAATGCTCTACGAAGTGGCTGGAAGGACAATATAGTAAATTAGATAAAAATAATTTCAAAAACTTAATACACTAGTAGACTTCATATTTAAATAATGATACTGTATCATGGCTCCATAGTCTAAAACGCACACAATATCGTGTCATGGTGAGGTGTGGCTCACGGCTAGACATTCACAGACATGTAAAGCAGCAACGATCTTATTTTTTGCCATAACTTTAACATAGAACAAGCACAATAAATAACATATTAAACTCACCACAGCGTAGTAAGTAGGCATTCTATCAAGATAATGCTGGAAGGCAAGCTTCCACTCTGGAGTAGGCTTGCACCGATGCACCTTGAACAGGTCGTCTAGAAGAGGCAGTAGCATCGGATAGTTGTATGGTAACACAAACAAATTGACACACGTCAAGTTCGTAGATGCCTTTAGGTAACCGAACGGGTGGTTTATTTCGGAATTTTTGCAACCACTATTGGCTACAAATACCTGGAATTGTAATAGAAATTATCAATAAATGTAGTTTATTTAACATATTTTAATCAAAGTATATTGTAGCCATAGAGAAAACATATTATGACTAATAGACTGTGGTTTTAAAAATCAAAAAAGTCAAAAATCATTTATTTCAATTAGACCCCCTAACAGGCACTTTTGAAAGTGTAGATTCTAATGGAGAAAGAGCAAGAACCACATTTTAGTACAAAGTTGAAAACTACTATTATATTATATTCAAGTATCAATTGCAATTTGTATATAATTAAGTTGAAATATGCAGCATAGTTAATAATTTAAGCACTTTTAGAAGTAATGTCCATATTATCTTATTAGCTGAGAGCTATTGGATAGTTTGTTAACATTCCGCAAGGTAATCACCATAATAAATGAATACAAATTGGGGTCAATTACTAATAACAAGAGAGTAGTATAGACATGGTGTAGATTAGGCGTTATTCAGTCTTGATAACTTTCTCTTATGTACATTACTTATTCTTATTTTTATTTATTCGATATCCTCATATATAATCAATATTCTCATAACATAATGCAACATCCTCTTCACAAAATGATTACTGCAGATAATCGATCAATTAAAAAACAAAATACTGTTCTAAATCTGTATGTACTGTACTAAGAAATAAATTTAATATTATTCTTAGACATTTTCTGTCACATTTGTACTTGTGTTTCTGATTGTGACTGCTGAAAACAGACCTCCTCTCACGGTTGGTCTGAACAAATTATACACTGCATATTCACTTTCTCACCTGCCAGCAGATGGTAGGTTGTTTCCTGGCTAATATGAACTGTGTCAATGGGCTGGGCTCCAACTCGTACTTATCGAAAGGTAGGTTGTCTATGACCATGGGCTCCTGGCTCGAACATGTGAACTTTACCACTGGGTGCGCCGAACGAGGTGGCTGAAAATGAGAACACAGACTTAAGCTTTTGGATAACAAATACATTACTAAGTTACTATAGCACTTATTTGTTCTTAGAACAGTATTTTTTGAGTGTAAATTCGCTAATGAATTTAACTGCATAGGATAAAAAAAAACATGGCAATTAGCGATTATACGGTAACTATGTAAAAAAATAAAGTAATATATATATATTACTTATTATTACTATATATATACTTATTATTAATATATATATATATTACTTTATTACTATACATTACGTATAAAAATAATTTATACGAATTTTGTACACATCTATGAGAAAGGCCAATCTAAAATTAATATACACAACAATATTATTCAGTAATTAACAATATATTGTGTAAAGAATCGAGTGAGTGCAAAACGATGCATAAAAAACAAATATTTCGAAGGTCATGGTACCGACACAAAAAGTCAGTGAACTTTTATTTTTTTAAGACTACGCTTTCGTCTGAAGTGTAAAGTTTTTAAACAAACAACGAAACATTTTGCGTGAAACACAGACTACTATAGAGCTGCCGTAAATCAATATTTCATAAGCAAATGCACGTTAATTTATTACAACGGTCGAAAGGCGTGCACTAAGTTCTGTTAATAAGCACGCCGACCTGTTGTTCATGGGAACTGTCATAGTTCAAACCAGCTGACACAGTGGTTCCAACATTAAATATTCACTGGTTTAGACTAATAGTTCCTCAACCTATAATCAATCCAATTACAAGCTTGTAAGCTTGCATTTCCCAGAATATTTAGACAATCTAATACAAAATAATAAGTACGATCGGAATCCATCAAACATTTAATATTTTTGACTATGTGTTTGCTTATTAACTGCTGCAAAACTTTAGTTTCCTCAAGTCAATGAATTATTAAAATATAATCAAACTATCGTTCATTGATTTTACAATAAACTTAGTTTTCGATTTTTTCAACCAACAGATTTGCTATTTGTCATAAAAAACATTATGCGACAACATGTTAGTTTTATACAAAATTCAAAGAAAACTATCGTTTTTGACATTTCAATAAAAGTACCAATTGAATTTTACTGGTTGAAAACTACCGTGTTGTAAGTATGAATAAAATAAATAATAATATATTATGAATACAGATGAAGCGAAAGAGGTATGTCAAAATCGTATTAATTGGCATTCCATTGTCTCTTCTCACTCCGAAGGGAGTCAGGCGTGACGACATGTAATGCATGATAATGTTTTCGATTAAATAAACTTGATTCTTTCATTCTCATATTCGTAATATAAATAAAGTAAATGTGAAATAAAATAAAGTCTAGCTTGTAACACCCACTTCACGTCTTCCAAATGAATATAATCTATCTCTCTTCTCTATGCCAAGTGTTTTTTAAAAATTTGGTGATTTTAAACGAGCCGTGTAGTGAGTGAATACTTTCGGGAGTTTGTAATAATAGCAGTTTAGTAGGATACATACCAATGTTTGAGCATTAGGGTCTGATCGGAATGATTCCGGTATAGGCCAGAAGCCGACGGCGAAACCTTTCTGAGCCACCGTCCTTGGTACGTAGATGAGACGTCGACACGAATGCCACGCTTGAGGAGCTCCGCTCTGCGTTTGGTACTGGCCGCTGTTCCAACGCTGGAAATAAGAGAATAATAAATTAGTCTAAATAATGAAGAAAAACATAACACCACGCCCATATTTATTACCTATTCGCTGTGCATTATAATATAGTGCCAAGTATTAAAAAGACCCATCTAATTTAAAAAAATATCTATACACACAGATCTTTGAAAAACGTATTTTGCCAGCTCTGGAATAAAAACTGACACATCCTTTCAGTAGACAGTAGTGACAGGCTTGACCAAGAACATAGTAATATCGAAGGAAGCGGTATTTCTTTTTGCGTATTTTATTCGCCGATTTTGATAATTATGATTTAATATATAGTAACAGCCCTTCAGGATATTGAATACTACTAACACACATAATAAATAAAATACCCAAAAAATTCTGAAAACCAATCACACTGATAGCAATCAATAATCAAGTTGATACATAGAAACGAAATAATATCAACAATCAATGAGGACAATTACAGCATAATCGACAATTAAGGACTTTTCCTTAAATATAAAAGAAAAATGAGGTCCTTAATGTGCAAAGTTATTAACAATTACGCAAAACCATTGCGTTCCAAATATAACCTAAACTTATTTAAAAGGGTCATAAATTTCAGTCATATTTTTTGCATTGTAAACATGGTTATGTCACTCGTTGGCTACTGAACTATATATAAAGAAAAACTTTTTCAAAAGGTATTGTTTTACTCGTATTTCATTAGCTTTCTGGTCTTAGTTCAGTTTTTCCATGGGCAATTAAAATAAACGACTCTTTAGCATCAAATCACAAAAATCATACCATAGAAATGCCTCGTTATGATTTGATGCGGAAAGAAAGACAAACAAACAAACAAGGAAAACAAATACACTTCATTCGCAATTAAAATATGAGCAAAGATTCGTTTGTTTTTGACATTCGAGTATCGTTTTATTTAATTCGTTTACCTACGACTTTCTTTTTTTTGTCTTTAATACTTTGATTGGTAAAAATATGGTTCGGATTTATTTTACAATTTCATTTATTTTGTTATATAAATTTTATTTTGTTCATAATAAAATCATTGTCAATAATATTGAGGGCTATAAAGATCTTGATAATAAGGTACTTGAGTAACAAAATATAGGACTGGCTAATTATTGAAACGTTTAAATTAATTTAGGCAGTTAGAATAGCTTGACGACCGTTAGATTTTATTAATACCGCAAACAGCGACTTTAATAAATTCAATAAAAATACAAAATGAACCAATATGTATTTATATTATTTTCATGTAATATATTTTTTTTAACTTTACTTAAAAAGTACTTTAGTACTCATATTGCTAAAGTACTTATATTATAATATTAAATCAAAATGACAATTTAGTAGACTAGGCAAATAATTAAGCATTATAGTTCGGCCGTTCAGAGAATGCGTTCCTGACACGTCGCGATTGAGCTGACGACGTAACTTTGTAATGGCGTTGCAGTTACGATAAAAGTATTTTTGCGCGTTGTTTACCGTTTTAACAATTGATGAGCATTAAAACAACATTATTATATAAATACAAAAAATTGTATAATTTTGTGCCAAACTGAGTGTCAAATAACTTGGTAAACAATATTTTTCTAAATCTATACTGCGCTATTACAAGGTTATGTCAGCGCTTTATATTTGTAGTGCTGTGCTAACAATAACAGGCAATAACAGTACCGTAATCTGTTCTTATACAGTTATACTTAATAAAATAATACGTTTTGTTTTTCATTTTAATAATTGAAAAATTGGCTATGGAACATTTTGACCGATATCAGGATTGATTCTGTAATTGATAATAATATAAATATACATGTAGGCGAAGATGATGATGAAGACACCACCTCCTAAAGCGAATCGGAGTCTGATTAATATTCTGTACGTACGTTCAATTCAATGTACTTTATTGCATAGAAATACAGATTGTAACTTTGTAACAAAGAATAAATAAAACAATTTTATTATATTAATATTACCTTTTTTGGTTTCCACTTAAATTACTAAAATATAAATTTTAAATGATTCCGAAAATTTAAAACGAAAATAATCTTAAAAATAACGCGGCTTCATTTTGGCGGAACGGTAACGAACTCAGTGTTATGTTGTGCCCATCACTAGTCGTGACTAACTGATAGGTGTCGGGAACGCATTCTCTGAACGGCCGAACTATAATGAGCATTTGTTTATCATTAAATTTAATTATGTCTGTGTGACTAACGGTAGGCTTATTAATAGGAATGGATTACTTTATAATAAAATTTTGAATTATCTATATAATTTTTATGGGATAGATCGGGCCAATGAGCAAGTCTGATTAACCGATAGTATGCCCTTCGAATGTATGGACAAATCGCAAGTGCATTGCCGGCATTTAGGGATTAAGGTTTTGGGGATTGGGGAATTGGGAATGGAGGAAATGGTAACCTGACAAAACGAAAGTGTTGTTTCACGCGGGTTTTCAATGGAGCCGTGGTATCCCTCCGATCGAGGCGGCCCATTCATGCCGAAGCATAGCTCTCCTATACTTGTACTTTAATTGATGACTAGCTACTCTGGCGCGGTTTCACCCGCTGCTCAGATCCTACAGATCGTACTGTTATGTTTTATAGCCTATAGCACTCAGGAATATTGTAGCTGTATCAATGAAAGAATTTTGGAAATCCGACCAGCGGTTCCAAAGATTAGCCCCTACATACAAATAAACTTACAAATTTTACCTCTTTATTAAGTATAAAATTTCGAGTATTTTTGTTATTTATTAACCAGTATAATATAATATAGCAATTCAATTATTTTCATTTGGTCAAAAGTAACCGGCTAACTCACTCATAAGTTCATAAAAACATTTCAGTCGTCAACTGAAAAATACCAAAGGTTGCGCCGCCTACGTTGCTGATATAAATAGTAAATGAAAAACGCAACAAATAGAGGCTCTGTATAATTTCTATCAATGAATTAATTAAAATGATAATGAATTTAGGCTATATTATAATGATGTTGTCTGTGATTATTTTGTTAAAAGGTTATTCAAGACAGCTATATTTTATAATTTGTAACGATTGTTATTTTAATTTTTGTTTCACGCTAATTGGAACAATAAGTATCGATTCTTTATTTGTGGCCATGACCTGTTTGCAACTTTAATTGCATTTATGAAGAATAATGTAGCTAAGTATGAAACACGTAGTACAAAGAGGAGTTCCTAGGTCGACACAATTTGCATCCCCTGCGTAAGTAAACTCATAGGTACTGGCAGGAGGACGTCGAATAAGCATATTGCATGACTTGCCATCATTTGTGTGGAAGCTAGATTTTTTCCAACTCATTGTAAAAGTGACGCCTGATTCTATCACACGTTATGACCTCAGAACAATCAAGAGCGAAATGTCACGGAGTGTTATTCAAGAAAATAAAAAACTTACTCCATTCCTTTCGCCATCGCCTTCCATTTCTTTGTCCCCCTCGTGGTTCGCGTCATCTTGTTCGCCCTCTCTACTGTTAGCGCCGTCAATGGGCGGTGGATCGGGGCCAATCTTCTCGAAGTTGATTACCACTCCACTTTGCACTTTTTGAACCAAACTATCGATGCACTGCATCAGCATACGGTGTGAAGTAATACAGTACGAACGACCTGGAAATTATACGAGTAGTTGTTCATTGAAACGAGAAATAATATAATCTATATTAGTGTTTGTTTAAAGTTGTTTTTAGACGTAGGTGGAAGAGGCGGGGTAGTGTGTTTATCAATATGATCGACAACGGACCGAAGAGCTTCCAATCTATACAATACATAATCATATTTATAGTCATTTAAATAATTATTTAACACGAACAAGGAACTATTTACCAGAAACAATGATCCGTGTCGAAGTATATAACCTTAGTTTTTGTTTAGTAAACAGACAAAATACTTCAGTAAATCAACTGTTGCGTACATTGATAATCACAAAAACTTAGTTAAATAAGACTTCTGCGGTACCGTATTCCCATAACAAAATGTCCATAATAATGAATACCTACATTAAACATTCAAAGGTAAATTACGAAGGAGAACCGAGGTTGTCGTACCTATTTCTATACAATTACATTTATACTATTTATAGGAATAAGGGGAACGGTAGCGAAATAAGTAAGTAATAATTTTATCATCTAGTCTAGATTGTTATATCTCGTTTTCTTTACAGCTTTTTCGCCATTTACGACCGTTCTTATGACACTTGTCATTTCTTTCTTTTTCGTACCGCTGTATTTATGAAAAGTTGTTCATGTACCATTTACTTTATAAAATCTCGTAAGCAATATTTAAGGAGTTCGATGCGTTTATAGAAGGTATATCACTACAGCATAAATGCTTCAAAATTGACTAAACAACGGGAAACATTAAACTTATTATAATGGCCGTGTACCGCTGATATAGTAATTTAACGTTAATGCTTTTAACAGGAAAACAAAACCTACTTTTATACTTATGTTAAAAAGACTTTTATAAGTCGGAACGTGTTTCGATTTGGAATGGCAAAGTAAACTGGTCGCTTCGATGAGCTAATTTATTCATTTACTTTAAATAGCCTAATAGTTCTGAATAATCTAAATATAATATACTTTCCGTTATAATCAGCTTGTTGGTTATACAGCAAAAAACATTATTCTTACAATTTTGTACCTCGTATGAGTGTATGATACCTTGACTCTCAAATGAACAGCACAAAAACTAGTCAGACAGGTTTTCTAAAGGGCTTACTATCCCCCAGTTAACATGAAATTTTTACATGCGTTCAAGATTATATTTTTAGCGTATTATTATCTATAAATGGATTCGTTCTACATATTCGTAATGAATTTCTTCTTGTCTTAAACGTCTACCAAGATTTAAGAAATATCTTGCAAGGACCTTTTAGATAAATGTCAATATTTATTATTATATTGCAAACAAACCGCCCAACACAGTATTAAGTACACGGACTCTATATCCCAACACGGATTTCTTTTTCTTTCGTATAGAACTTGTCCTATTAAAATCAAATGAAATCCAATTTGATGCAGTCGGAACTTTATAAGTAATTCGCGTGCCAACATTAAAATGATTCATCATTATTTACCTATACCTATAGATAGAGATTAGTAACTTACCGCCTGTAACTTCGCACATCGCGTCGATTGGTGATGAATCGGACGGCACAAGGCCCGTGTCTCTCTCCACAGCTGGCGTTCCAGCTAGCCTAAGCACCAACGAAAATAATCTTTGGTCCCATCTGAATGGCTCGCGAGTCAACTCAGACCCCGGTATAGGGCAATTCATTGGCAGGTTGAACTGAAAATTACATAAGAAACGATTGTGTTTTATTAATGCGACCTTTCATCAAACTGCCTCATTGGTCGATGTTCGCAAGCGAAGCGAGCTTAATAATTTTTTCTGTTATTCAGTTTTTTAAATAATCTGTAAAGTGTCACAAAGTCTGTGTGCCCAGTATGTGCCGAAGATGTACCGCTAATTTGTGACTCGCGACACCTACAATTTCGAAATAAGAGGAATCTTTTTCTTTTTGTTATAATACCTTTCATCAAGATACGTCTTGATTACCAAAATCGTTAAAATATGCCAAAATAATGAATGTTATTTCAATCTCAAATATGCTCTTTTCCTTGTTTCAATTGTAATATCGAGCTTAAACTACGCAGTGTCTACGTCGCATAGACGTCCCTGACTTCAGAGATAGGCGGCTTATACATGTTGAGTGCATTTTCCGATGCGTAAAAATTCTTACACGCCCTGTATATGACATGACACATCCATGATGCAGGCAGCTCAAAGCGTATCATGCACAAGTTTAAACAAGTTCAAAAGTCTAGCTCGCAATCTGAGTCATCAAAATGCATTATCTATAGCTATTTGTGTTACGGTGTTAATTTCTTAGGTTATCCTAAATTCAATATTCGTATTTTAGTATAACAGAATTTAATTCAATTGAACAATACATAAAGTTCCAAACTTGTTATTTTTTTGTTGACTGGATTAGAAATTAGAATATTGTTTGGATGATATTTAGTAAGTAAGCCCTAACAAGTTTATACGTTAACGAATAAACTAAGGTGTGATAACGTAAAAATAGTTCTTGGTTGCAAGACTATTATTCTAGATGACGTTTCCAAAAATTCACAATTCTATTGACACAATATTCAAATGAAACACTTGTAAGAGAAATTTGAATAAGGCATGCGACCTCCAAACCCAAGATGAGAGTTAAGAGTAATACATAAATACAAGTAAATAAGAGTCAGGCTCATACATAACTTTAGGCTCGACACATACATTCTCTACCAAAAATAATTTGATTGAACCGATTCGTTGTTGCTAGGTAAGTGTCGTGTGGGTCTGACTTTCCCATGAAAAAATCTATGCCCTTTACGTGTCCTTTATTTCTAGTTATTTGCATTTGTTAAGAATATGGACCGTATGTAAATCATGCTGACCGGACGATGGATCCGAGTGAGTTAGATGCACAATACTTTAAATTTTCTGTGACTTAGCTCCGATTCCCAAGCATGAGGATTGATTGAGGCAAACCCTTTAAAGAGGAAGCCTTTGTTCAGAAGTGGACAAAGAGCAAAATGTGACGTAACTGCTAAAGTAACCTATTGTTAAAAACGCAACATGAGTGAGTACACCTTTTACTGATATTATTATATTTTGTACGAACTGTTAATTACCATTCAGCTTCAGTAAACAAGTTCGTGCGTATTTTAACCAACTTCAAAGGCCGGTTCAAAATTCTTCAGATTCTGTTTTATGTTTAGACACCCATATCTATTTTATTGAAAGCTAATCAGGGTTCATGTAGGTAGATGAAGTGCTACTTTTCTATATCAATGGATGCACAATCTACGCAGCCACGGAAGTACCCAAGGTGACAAGTCGACCAATACGAGTCAATGAATAAGATCGTAAAATTGTAACAACGTATGGTGTGCGACGGACCTTAGCCAAAATTTATGTGCATCACTGCAGATATTTATGATGTAATCAAGTAGGTCACAGCGAAAATGACGACACCTAGGTCCTATTGCAATTGAACCAAGTAAGTTAATTAGATATCTGTAGATGATACATCTTCATAGATTATTTATTTATTTATTCAAGTTTTATGTACTTAAATTGTACATAGGTGGACGTAATGCCGTTAACATTATCTACCAGTCTGACCTTTGGATGATGCAGAGAGGTGTAAACTTTGGGTGCAAAAAATCAAGTTATTAATTATATCAATAAAAACATCATATATTTTTAATACCTTAGAACCTTAATAAAATTTTAATATACATATTTTTCTATGTGTTTCTAAAAGATACGTAAAACGAGTCTAGGCTGTGTCAGAATAAGTTTTTACATTAAGATGTGAAGATATAACTATCGCTTGTCATGATCTTGGTAAAAGAAAATTATTTATTGTCAATGCAGTAACTTTCTTTTTTACATATTACCTACTAGCGCAAAATAAGACTACGGTTAAGCCGCAAAAATTCAAGAGATGACGGAAAGCGTTAAAACGATTAGTTTCCTGCAAAGGTTTAAAATTACGACTATGAACATTGTAGATAGTAGGTAATTTTTATTAATTTAATTGGAACAAGAAATATGGTTATATGGTAAATGATAAATGATGGTAATAGACAGTATAAATGAAAAAATGCTACTAAAACAACAATGTAATTATCTCTAAACCATTCAACTTTGATATTAGTGGTAAGTGGTTATCATCAACCCACAATAACTGGTCAACCCAATTCCTAAACAAAATTCATTCCACTAAAAAAACTTTTGCTTACTCAACATATGTTTTTTAAACTTAAATTCCATTAAATTGTGCAATCCAAATAATGTGCATAAACTTTTTCTCTTTACACAAAATACGAATAAATTAGTGGGTTTATAATTTAAAAAAATAAGCATTTATTTTGTGGTATTGCCTGCATCAGTAAGTGTAAGGAGTCATGTGTCATTTGTATTATTTTTAAAGTCCAATATAACTTGAGCCCTATTTAGATAAGATAGGGAAAGCACATTAGATTGTGGTTATAAAGGTATGCTCAGGAAAGATGAAACTTTAATGTCTGTCTATGTCTGTGTATTTAAACTTTTTATCATGTGCCTAGTTAAATGCATGTGTGACTTCATTTTTTATTCTAAAAATATAATTGGAGTAAAGAAGTTTGAATTATGTATAACTTTGAAAGGCTTTTTCTTATTATAAAAGGCATATATAGGCTGCTGGTTATGATAAAGATTATAAAGAGTAATCTAACTTTTTACAAGAAATGTGAGTTCTTCATTGATTAAAAAATATTCAAAATAGGCCAGTATTTTCTGAGTCTATTCAATGACAGAAAGAAATCATTAAATAATTCCTTTTTTACAGCATTAGTATGCAACAGTTTTATTAATACCATACCCAAGAAATTGGCTTTTAACATAACTAGAGTTTACCAGTAAATATCCCAATATATTTTTTTTATATTATTATGTAGTTATTTATTGCAGTTTAAACTAAACAGCAGTAACTGGAATGCCTATGGTCAGCAAGGCAATCTTGATAAGAGATTACTTATAATTGAATTATGAATTCAAACTGACTTAAGAGTTTAGTGACCTTTAATGTTTATGTTAATCCATTAGTAAATAGAGTATTAATTATTATAAAGGAGTATTTATACAGTTTTAGATTTCGAGTATTTAAAGGGTGGGAAATTCTTAATTGTGGTATAGATTTTGGAATTGTGCCCATTACAATACATTGCAACAGGATTAGGTAGACCAAGGTCTAAAAACTTAACCTTCAAAAAATGTGGTAGATATTTTGTCTGTGGTTTCAACATTATTACCCCACTTTTATTTTCCTAACAATAGTTAAATATAATAAATTGAATTACATTACTAACAAACATTTACATTTATACAAAAACATAATAATATTGTGAAGAATACCCATAACATGAAATTTTAAATCTATACCTGAGCCATTACTAATATACCTAAATGGATAATAATAATGTAACTTGGTTTGAGACCAATGTTTAAAAAAGTAAGCATATACTTAACTAAGATAAGATTAGTAAATTATGTCAGTTCAAGAAAACTATATGTATAGTATACCTATGCCACATTAAATGTACATGAACTAAAAAGTAGAATTAAAAATAATGAAGTAAGTTATTTTTTAAATTAAAAATAACTTACTAGATAGACTATTCTTTTCACTCAACCTAGACTTATAAAAATATAAGAAACACATAAATATTTATGTTTTCTGTTAGTATGTAAAGTAAGGAAATGGAAGTCCTAGTAATAGAAATAAAAAATATATAATTCCTAATTCAAATCCTATTCTATGCTACCGCTATAGCTATGAATTTTATTACTGTAAGTTGAAATAGAAAGTGTGACATAACAAATATAATAAAAGTACATAATTACTTACCTCTTCCTGAATGCCAGCATTACTTGAAAGTTTCCCTCCATCAGTAATAACAACAATAACAGAAGGTTCCAGATAGAATGGACATCTTCCTTGTCCATATGTGTCAATCCCGGTCTGCATGCGATTTATGTTTAGAACATCAAAGGCATGCTTCAATGCTGCACCCATTGTAGTCAAGCCCAGACATTGCAGATTCTTTAATTCATTTATAAATGTAGCAAGATTCTCTTTCCAACCAGCCTGCAAAATAACAGGGAAGGTTAGAACACAACTCATCAATAATTAAGTCTAATTAATAAATGACTATAGCTTGTTGGTGTGATATTTGTAAGAAGGTGTGCCATAAACTAATAATGAACACAAAATAAAGCAATGTATGTTATCATTCATTGCCTGCATACATCATTCAGAACAATACATATCAGACTAATAAGATATTAGTTGGTGTGTGATTCAATTTGAATTTCCCCCCCGAATCGCCATTTCGTAGTGTGCGATCTCGGCCAATGAGAATGTGCGACGAGCGCGCAGTAGCGAGCGCTATCGCGGAGGCAGCAACGGCGGCGGTTCGTCCTGTTTACGTCGTGCTGTCTATTTCAGTAAATTTCGCACTTTCAAAATATGTAAATGTTCTGGATTGCAGATTACAGTGGTTGACATTTAGACACTACCAAACCGGCATAAACACTCACACCTATGCACAATCCACAAGAAATTCTTCGTTAACGTGTTCACTCTGTTATACTAACCTTGATGTTCGCGGGTGGTTCTTCGAAAGTTAGAAGCATATACCTGTCGCCTCTGCTTTCGGGGGAACGTTGACGAACCTAGGAAATAAAATAAATCAGTCCAACACACTAACACGCGATAAACAAATCGATCACAAAAACGAGGCGGTTGACGAGTCGATGACACTGCACGTACCTTTACGAACGTTTCCACAGCGCCCTTGGCTACATCGAGCAACGTTGGGCGTCCGCCCAAATAAGCTCTTTGGTTCATAGAGGCTGAAGTATCTATTAGGAAAACTATTATAGTCATCGTGAAAATTGCCTAAAAGTCCCTCGAAATACATTAAAATATGCGCACGCTATTATGAACTTAGAACAAAAATGGCCGCTACATCGTACGCAGACTCGCTGAGAGGCGACCGTCCGACAGCCGCTTCGACGAGCAGCTGAACAAGCTACGCCACGACGAAGACTCCAAAAGTACCACGTGACCTAATCACACGTTCGGAATTTGTCGGCTATGTCCGTTGACTGGCGACGGGGGTTGCCAAGCCAAGATAAAATTTACCACTATTTTGAAAAAATAATTCACTCTGAATCATTTACTTGTCCGTAGTAAAATAAAACAGATTTTTATAAATTTTATCTAATAAAGAGATTCCTGATGAATGTATATTAATTAAAAGTTGAAATGTTTTTGTAATATTGATCCTCTGAATTCATTAACTATTTTCAAACAATATAAAACTATGCAGTCAGAGAAGAAATTATGTTTTTCTATTCATTAGCTATAACTTGAAATGAGTTATGTAAATATTTCTAAATAATTTATGCTATTTGACATGTTTTTAACTTTATGTTATACTACGTTGAAGGATGTTGGTACATTAAAAAGTGTTTAGACTACAAAAATCACGTTATTTTGGATGCAGTTATTTAGATTATTTTGTTAAAAAATTACCTTTTAAGAAGTAGTAGTTATCAAGCCTAGACAAATATGAATTCATTTTATTACTTAGGGCCTTCTCTTTGGGCATCTGAAGAATCTGTACATTTAATATTCCCTTTATTTTGAGGAAAGACTTTTCAGTAGCAACATCACTTCCTTCTAAGTGAATCTTGAAAGTATTGAAACGACTAATTTGCGTGAGCGAACTTGGATATTATCAATATACACTTTTAATAATAAATGTTATATTAATTAAACATTCGAAATAACAGAACAATCAACAAATTTAAGTCAATTTTGTATTTAAAGAAACACTTAATCTGCAACCAGCCCTTACTCGCGGCAAATTCAAATAAAGAATGCATAGTGCAGTCAATTAAAAATAAAAAAAATAGTCATAATCGATTAACTTGATATAAAAACTATAACTACGTGAGTTTTCATAGATTTTTTCGAATTATTTTAGAAATTTCAATACTAAGACGATAAATATCATCTGGTAAATTTAATTGACCTACGTCTTAATAATTAGACGTTAACATAACAGAAGGTCAATAATATAGAACTTCACATGTGTTCCTCAACATGGTGTCTCTCCATTCACGTGAATTTCCTATCTTCTTGCTTAGGCATCCTAGGCACCTAGGAGTACCTATGATACATTATTAGATGCTTCGTCGTGTGAAAGCATTTATATTACAAATGCAAATTTCTTTATGTAACCTAAGAAGAATTCAATTATTTGATACCGATTATAACTGACAAACGATAACCAAATTTTTATTTTCGTCAGTAATTAAAATTTAGTTTTTGTTTGTCAGTTATCTAGTGACCAGGGCCTCTGATGACGACGAGCGTTGCAAGAGAGATCAGTTAGAGGAATTTGTGATTTGATCACTTTCAAAAAATCAATAAGTTCCTTTCCATTCTTTTAAATTCACTCAAATTAAAGTACTTAAGTACCTACCTACGAATCCCAAAGGTTGATGTATCTGATAAGTATTTTACGTCCTTTCAAATAAGTATTTCATGTTTTTTATATGAAGTTTAATTTTTCTTAAACCCAGTTTAGTAATAATAAGATACACAATAAAAAGCTATACCTACTTCTTACCTATAGGTAGGATGTTTGCCATAAACCAACACATCATCACATGGGACTGGAGTATTTAGTCTAAATTATTCTGAGTATCGTAACAAACTCCATTATTCTATGGTCTTGTGAAGCTGATATCATACGCGGGATTAGAAATAGAGGTCAATTCTTGATCCCATAATATGTGATAAATTAATTAAAAATCGCGGGTTACTCACGTGTGAGTGAATACACACATGAGTGACCCACGATAAATTATTTAGCACTACATAAAATCGGCCATGTGTATGCTAGCTATTTGTGTGGTTTTATGTGAGTTCGATTGGTGTAAATGAAATATGTTATGATGATGATATTTAAAGTGTTCTAGAAGAAAGTAAGAAAATTTTATTATTATTTTCTGAAACCCGATTCTGAAAGCTATTTGAGTATTAAATACTATTAGTTTAAATGTATTTATATTAGATTAAAATGGGACGTGGTAATATTCATAGATATTTTCAAATCTCCCGCTGTTAAAGGATTTCTTCCATCACTAGCGTACTAATAAGTCGTAACAGTAAATAAGGTAGATAGTCGATTATTAATTTTAATTTTTGATTGAATAAAATTGAACATCTTTTGATTGTTTGTTATAACATGGCTGTAATGAATATAATTACAACAATATCTTTAGTTACCGGGTTGTATTAAACTATGAATTCGCTCGCCTTTCTGCTTTTGCAACCGAGCAGATCAAATTAGTCGACTAAGTTTACGGAATACGGCTAAGTTGTAAACGCAACAATACGAATCTATGAGGCCCGGCAGGTTTTGTCATTTCATCATTTGTCAATTTTGACAGTTATACATGTGTGTCGGTGTCGATATATTTGTTATGAATTCGGTGTACGTGTGTAAGAAATGACTCGATTTCTAAATAAAATTCAGCATCTAAACAAATAAATTCGTTACTATTTAATGCCTTTTATTGCTATAAACTATATTACTTCGAAAGATACATTTTTGTGTTCAGATCAAGGGCGCTGAAAGCTTTGATTTCTTTATTGAAAATCAAATAGACATTGAATCATGGACGAAGTATTAGATCAATTAAATAAGACTAGTTTTATTGACCTATACAAACAAAAAAGCGACAATCAAGAACAGAGAAGAAAAGATCTTCTTAATGCTCAAAAATCGTAAGTGTAGCTTTTGTTCGTATTTTTCATTTATTTAAAGAAAAAAAGCTGTGATTTTTAGTATAAATTTTCTTTTCACACTTATCTGTACGTTCAGGAGCGTCCCGGATTATTGTTTTCATTATCAGGCATTCCTTAATCATGACACATCTCTTAAAGAAAACAATTATTGACTATGCAATAATTGTATTCTTTATCATCTATAAGCTTAGTAATTAAGTATTGACCCCTTAAAATATTACAAATGTCCATATTATCTCAACAGGCTGCGTAACAACTTGGTGGACACATGCAGAGGAATATTGGGATTAGTAGATGCGGTAGATAACAATGACTTCTTTCAAGAAAAAAAGGTGAATATTTTTTTCTGCAAATGCTTTAAAAGTCTCTTTAACTATTGTATAAATAAAGAGAAAGCCTAGAACAGTAGTGTTGTGAGGTAATGTTGCTGTTAATAGGTAGTTTATTTGCTGCATTCATTTGAATTAAAATTGTTTTTGAAATTAAACCTAGTTTACATGAGGCTCAATAGATTTTTTCTAAAACAAATGTCTTTAATTCTGATTACCAAAAATTGTTGTCTGATTGTATTGGTTATAGTTGATCCAGTCGTCAAAACTTTTGTAGATAAGGATTTCATTGATTCATGCATATACTTATATTTATATCAAATTGTTTCCAGGTTTTATACAAACCCAAAATATTTGTGGCTGGTTTTACTCAGTGTGCATATAGCAATGTTCTGATGTTATCAGAGTGGATGGTTGAAAAGCCGGAAGATTTTCATGAAAATTGGTATGTGGTACCCTGCCCAAAAGGCATTAGGACGCTTGTGGTGGCCAACAGAGTAAGTTATGTTTGGTCTATATTTTTTTAAGTAATGTCATTCCAATGCTATTTAACAGTGTGCTTCATATGGACTACACAACACAAAAAAAAAAAGAATTAACTGGTTGTTCCTGGGTGACTCAAAGAAACTCTTCAGCTATTTTGTAGTATATTTTTTTTATTTGGAAACAAATGTTGTATATTTTTCTAACTCTTTATTTGGTGTAAGCATAATTTTTTTATTTAAGACTACTAATATAACCTATATTAGTAGCCTCAGTCAGGCAAACTAAAATTACTATAAATTTTGTTTTTCAACTCTCGACTTCAGGGTACAACAAAACTCTTTTCAAAATATGGGCAGTTCAGAGGTGAATACAAAACAGCCTTGCCTGGTGGTCACTCTGGAGGATTAAAGAACCGATGCTGCATCCTAGACTGTTTCCAACCTGAAAACTCCAATATTATGTATGTTTTGGACCTATTAGCTTGGAATACTCAGCCAATGACAGATGGAGAGGTTTGTTGTTAAAAATAACATTATTATAGATTTAAATAAAGTTTATTTTACACTGATAAAAATGATTTCAACACCATAAATAAGGAATATGAAATATTAGATATACATACACTACTACATTATTTGAGTTACACACTGAGTACTATAAAAATTGATGTTCACTCATATTTCTATTTGCATCATATTAGAATAGAAAAAAAAAACACAAGAAGTAGCAAAGAATTTAAATCTGAATGTGTTCAAAATTGTAATTTATTTTTGTAATTATTTTAGTTTTATTTGTTATTGATAGGAATAGAAACTTTATTTTTTTTATAATTTCAGACAGAATTTAGACATTATTGGATGGAAAGTAACTTCCGAGAGATACCTGAGTTGGAGAGGATAACTAAGAAAAATAAATTAATATTTAAAATATTACCCAAAGTATTGTGCACTCGGGAGAATTTTAACGAGTAAGTATTGTGATCCTTGCATTTTGAATACATAAGGTGACTGGTAATTTGTGACCAATATGAATTTCATCAAACCCCAAGTGGACGCCGGGAGTTTACTCACCTATTATTCTTCATTATAATTGCATTAATAACAACTGTTTTAGGATATCACCTGAGACTGTTATTAGTCAGATAGATATAACTGTAATCCCCAAGGGGGATTATGACTAAAACAGCAGCCTCGACCCCATCAAAGATCTCTTATTAGTAATTTGTCCTAAGGAGAAATGAGAGAGGTTTTGTTAAACAGAAAATATCTTGTTACTAATCTGTACAAAGTAATATTGTAAAGCTGTAGAGTTTCGACTATTGTTTCGAATTGGACAATTCTTTTTATGTTTGTAAAACATCACGCTATGATGCATAGGAGCCCAATAGCGGGTGAAACCGCGCGAGAGTACGCGCGCTAGTAACAAATAATAATCTTGTATAACAATTTTTTTTTTTTTGATTGTTTATATAATGTCAATGATATTCTCTTCCAGATTCATGATGAAAGTGCCACACTTTCCAGATTTTAATCCTCGCCTGGATGGTCTGCTGTTCTACCATAAACTGGCGCATTATTACTCAGGAGAAACGCCGCTGGTCGGCTGGATGTACCCTTATATGGTGCCAGAAGTGTTCGGAGAAGGTAAACTGATTTAATTTAAAAATGTTGTATCACCTTAACGTTAAATGCATTTTTATGGAATAAGTCGCACAAGCAAACATATTGTATTCTGTCTAAGGCTGGCGACTGCTTGTGAAAGTTCATGTAAAATTAATTTCAAGATCATATCCACCTGAAAATGGACATGATTTGAAATAATCACTGTTTAAATTTATTTATTTTTGCCTTCCTATTTCCACTTTTATATAATTAAACATAATTCTATGTTTATGTACTCAATAATGTTGAAGGTTCTCTTTAGGTCAGTGATAAAAAAAAAATAGATAGTCATTTTGTCTATTTATTCATTTTACTTGTTACAATTTAACTCTCAGACATGCGGAATAAATGTTAATGTTTCTATTTTTTAGATATCACAATAAATCCATTTTACTTAGAGAAACCTCCTAACTACGTGAATCAAGCAGAGTTCATAGCTCGTTTTAATGAGACGTATAGAAAAAGGGCAAAGAAGGCGCGAAATTCTGAACAGGCAATGGAAACTACGCCTTCCTCACCTCTTAGTGAAAACAATGTAAGTATAACTAAACTTTTGCATTTAGTTAATATGGTAGAATAAAAAAAAACATGCTTTTGTTTGTTTCAATTAATAAAATTTTCTTTTTTTTTGGTGCTATGTAAGTGACATGTCGAAAACATTTAAAAATACTGAGAAATATTTTAATTGCTTATTTGATTTGTTTGTTAATTTATTGTTTTATTTATGTTACTTATTTATTTTATTTATTGCTCGTTGATTTCCCACATTTTGGGGATTTTGGTTTTTGGAGATTAGTGATTGGGGGAAGGGAAGTATTGAGCCACCAGTAAACTCACTCACAAGATGGAAAATGATTGAACTAATGTTGTGATTTCATACAAAAATCATAAAAAAATTTAAAGTATACTATCGTCTTTTTGAATTTTAAACTAAGAAGTTATAATGGTATGAAATGTATGTGATGAATTTCTTTTGCAGGACAATAAAACAACTGAGTCCCAACCAATGGACCAACTAGTTCCATCAGAAAAGTTTGCAACTGAAAGTGAATCAAGTATGGAGTAGGAAGCACCTTCAAGAAATCAATGTGGTTTGTGTCAAGATATTAATCGACTTCCCAGGATGAAGGAGGTTCTTATTAGTACCTATTGAAATGTACTTCAAGCAATATTCTTTATATTTTTCCTAAAGGAGTCTCGAGTGTTAATTGGATGTACTAGTCTTTAAGCATATGATGTGTTTTATAAGGAAGTGTTAAAGGCAAGTTTAGTACGCGATCTGACATAGGTTTTTTAAAAAAATCTTAGAAAAATAGCCACTTCACGAAAAAAGGAAAGTTTGCAGCTGGTAGTAACTAGTAGGATATTTTTTCATTAGGAGGAATATTTCAGTAGGAACAAATTGTTTGATTCCTTATCACATCTCAAGAAATGAAGACAGCGCCTTTAATAGATTAGAATGGCTACAAATTCCAGAAAAGTAGAAAAAAAATGTTTTATTTTGTCATTGTACTATTTAATTGTAATTGTTCATATTATGTAGAAAATTGCATCAAAAGAACGTTCCTTTAAAAGTATTTTGGATTATTATATTTATTATATTACTCTATTATTATTGTATGCAAGTGTGAAATGAGGGCTACTATTTTTGCTCACAAGATGGCGTAAAATAAGTGAAAACTGTCTGTCCAATGACAGTATCTGTCAAAAGTTTATTGTCTACTGGTTTGCAACTAGCTAATTTTCTATTGGACATTAATTTTTCGAGTGTTTTAGACGTGGATCTACGCGAGAAAATGTGTCTATTTTTTTCTATTGTGTCGTATAATATTCAACGGTATAATAACATAATGCTACATTAGCGCCATCTGGTCAGTAAAGATTGGCCCTCATTTAAATTTGATGCGATTGGCATAACCTTTTGTTATTGCACATGGCTGTTTTATGAACTGGTGATATACATTTTAAGTAGTAAATAAGTTTTTAATTAGTAAGTTTATGTTAAATATTTTTTATTTGAAAACCAACTCTTGTTTCTATTACTGCTGTAAAAGTAATGACGAGAGCTATTGTTTTTGTGTTTATTAGATGGCGTAACAAGTTGTCTTGTTCGATAAGGTCTTATTACAAGACCTCGTCGTTCTTGCTCCCCTACATAAAAAAAGTATGACGTCTAATTTTAATTTTAATTCTCTGCTCCGAGCTGGGTCGTGGTGCGTCATTGCGTTTCGCCCGTAACAATGTGACGTCCGCTGCACACTATTAGTGTGGGTACTACCCATGGTGCTTAAAACTCTTTGAGCTCATACGCTTTTTTTTTGAACGGACAAAATTATGAAATCATTTCTCCCGCCATGGATGGGACGACAGGGAGCGTCTGGTTCTGGTCGCGCGTCGAGCTACCCTTGTTCGTCATCCTCAGACCTGAATGTCAATACTTTACACTAACTTTTCTATTCGCCAATGTACCCCGGCCGGGAGCAGGAGACGGAACGTGGTGGTTTTTAATCAGAAATCCCTTAAATTTAATTTAATCTTTAGTCTAGAATTCAACCATTGAGTCAGGATTTGAATTTTTAAAATTATTCTCACCAACCTTCAATTTCGAATACAAAAACTGGCTTAGTGGACTTTAGATTTGAAAAACCTTGTTTTGTAATAAGGCCGAAAGAGTGTCACTCCATGTCACCAAACCAAGTCATTCGATAACTTTCAAACTTATTGTGTACTTGTGGTTTATTTTACTTTTAACCCGTTTTAGTCATTTTTCGTTCCTATTATGGCTTGAAAAAGCTCAGAAAGCTCTTTTAGAAATAGGATTTATGTGTGATCAATTCAGCTTTTGTGTTTTGTATGTATATAGTTGTATGCACACTTTATCATTTAATTACTTTAATCGTTTTTAAGGATTCTATCATCACTATTACTCTAGTAACTTATACCTAATACCGAACGTTGCCTTCAAATCAATTGACACTTGTCAAGAAACATAACCACTGAACTTTCTATACTCGGAATTTTAATTCCATTCCAGATTTGACAATTTCAGTGTTGCAACGTTATGACACGAATTAAATAGTGACGTTGCGAAATTATTCGCTATGGAAATCGAATATTTCTGAATCGATTCCTCTCGTTTATAAATTTACTCTCATAAACTAAGTTTATCAGGAAATAAAATATTTCTTAACCGATAATTCAGTTTTGACAATTAATTAACGATCTGAGACTTTTCTTTTGTAAATGTGTGTGAAATTAATAAAAAAATGTGATCATGAAGGAACATGACAAATAAAACAGACATTTTATAAATTGTCGACGTCATCGCTATCGCTATCGCTATTACTGTAACATTTATTATGAATTGTGTCTGTGATATTTATTGTCAATTAACATATCTAGCTCACTCATTTTTTCCTCTTCTTTGACAACATGGGATACGCATTTAGACCATTCGGTAGCCGTAATTTTTCGAATGCCTTCCTGAAACTGATTCACTGATTGTTAATCGATTTTTGTGTTCATCACTACACTGTTGTATGTGGTATCATTATTTCACAAAATGACAGTAGGTCATGTCAAATCAGGAATCGAATTAAAATTCTGACTATAGTACCCGATTGTAGCCATTTGTGGAGTCTAACGAAAATATCGCTGACTGAAATGGTACTACTACATTACTTAAGAACAAGAATTCATTACTAACTAAAATTGCCACAAATTTGACTTTTGCCACAAATGTATTCAGTCAGTGATATAACGTCTAAGAAATAAATTAATAAAGAAAAGAAAAAATTCCCTATCCAGGATAATAATTTGACATGAAGGCCAGGAACCTAACTCTACCACTGCATACATAATCGCCGATAGTAATTCAACAATTTTATTGGTAACATTTTTTTATAATATTTAGTGTTTCCCAGTAAATGGTGATATTGTCAATTTTTTTCTAGAGTTTGTATGAAATACTGCTTTTGAACATAGGTATAACCCGAAAATAGTGTTCATTAATTAGGTTAGTTATTAAATTTATTTATAGCTTATAGCATAACAAAACTTTTATTGACAATTAAAAAAACATTTGATCTAGACAAATGGTAAATCCTTTTTACATAGGACCTACTTCAAAAATATGTAGGTATATCTAAATTAAGTCTTAAGTCTTGTAGATGATTTTAACTATGTTATAGTTAAACTCAAGAAGACATGCGAAAATCAATTCGATTGATAGAAATAAGGTCGATTTATCAAGAATAGGATATCTACTAGAAACTTATAGCTTGTGATTACTTCGTATTACATATTTAATATGTTATTGTTTATACAAACATCTCTGAAGGAAGACTTGAATTTATACTCAATGTATAATTTATAAGTTTATATCCTATTAGAACTTTACGCTGGTATTAAACATATGAACAGGAAAAATCTTTTTATTTTACCATAACAAAACCATCCAACTACTCAAATTAATTTGTTCTAAAAGGCCATAAGATACTTTTCCAATGTTGGGGCGGGATATGACTATGTGACTGGTTCAAAGAAGAAGGAGGAAGATCTAATAAAACCTCAGTGGTCTGTAAGATTGAGGTCTCAACACCCAATTTTATTTGAAAAGCACGCTATGACGTCATAATTTATTACATCAAACAGTGTACTAATTTCTTTAGAATAATAAAAAAATAGGAATATTAAGTATACCTACCTACACGCTTATTATAAAATTAATTAATGAAGGTGTGTTTATTTTAATGCTATTATGAGTTGTAATATTTGTTTTGAATGAGGAAACTCCCCAATTGAACTTCGTGTGGTCGAGATTACCGATGGCCTAACTATTTATCTACTTATGATAAGGTAGGTACTAATAGTGTTGCTAGCGTGTACCAGTACTTCTCATCATATGAACCAGCTGCTTATTTGTCTCAACTATAACATTAACATAAGAGGCTAGAGTTACCTACTATTCTTAAGAGGTCGGTAACAAACTGGTGACTTCTCTAGTGCTGCGGGTATCCATGGGGGCACAATTCGCCTGCCATTTTATTTGTAGGCGTCAAAAAAGTACCCCTCTCCCATTCTGGAGTGTCTGACTCCTACTGACTCCGCCGTGGTTGTGGGTGAAGAAGAAGGAACGGAGTTTTAGTCAGAGTCTGACATTCTTCTTGCCCCACTGTAATCAAGTGATGAATTTCCCCCTAAAGAAATACTTACCAAAAATCACCCTGTTCCTACTCCTACTCTTGAGTGGGTTCGCGGTTCCGCAACCACGTTTGATTTATTTTTGTTGTGTAGCTATTTTATAATTTATATTTTTTTTTACTTCTTTTCTAATTGATAATTGTTTATTGTTGTCTGATGGGGGCTTGTTCGTCCGCGCGTCTCTTAAAGGGCCAGTAGAAAACCAGCGCAAGGCCCCGTCTTGCACATGCTGAACTGGTTTTTTCACTGCAGAATTGGGACACTAGTAGGTAGGTAGCCTTTAACTGTATGATGTTATGTGTCAAATGTTTTAGCGTGCGAAATGAAAGTTTTTTCTTTCTTTCACTCATCCTTCACTTGTTGCCATCCTATTCCATAAAACAAATTTGATCAGCATTGTGAAGTACCTACCTACCATAAGTGTGGGGGAGCCATGCTCCCCACCCTTTCCCTCCCCCAATCCCTAAATCCCCAAAATCCAAATACCTAAGAGGTCGGCAACGCACTCGTAACTTTTCCGTTTTTGCGGGTGTCCAAGGGTGGCGCTGATTGCTTATTTTCAGGTAATCCGTCTGTAAGTAGGCAATCATGTCTACTCACAAAAAAAAAACTGGTTTACTACAGGTTTGAAAATGAGGTAGGTAGGTAGGTACCTATTCAGTGAAAACGCACATAGTCAACGAAGCATAAAGCAAAATTCATCTAAATAATTAATTGCCTATATTTCAGACAGCGAGGAAGAGTAATAAAATCCGAAACGATTGTTTGCAAACCGTAAAGCGGTGTCCTTGAGAACGAAGCTATGAATTAAGGAATGGCTCTATTAATTAATATTACTTACCTAATAATAATATCATCAGCGTGACTGTTATTTCGGATTCCAGGTAATAACATTGGTACCTACCTATGGAGTATATACTATCTATGTAGGTACATTCTGCACATTATTAAGGTTTACAAGTAGGAATATCTAAGGTCAGCAAGTCAGAAATTATGACTATATAAAAATAATAGCTATATAAGTAGTTTATATATAAAAAGTCTCGTAATGAATCTGCTGTGAAGTTTAGAGACTCCTATGGATAAGAACGAGCAAGACACTCCATGGTTACTCTTTTTCAGTC